TGTGTGGTCCATCATGGAAATTGTAGGACAGGGAGGAGGAAAGACACTCAAACTGTATCAGGTCTTTTTCTAAATCACTGTATGTGGCTGATGCCCTGTGCAAAATTGATGCAAATTAGGATTGTGTGAAAATATTAGTATTTTACATGTACTGCGTGAGTGAGGGAATGGGGAGAATAACACATAACTTAATCAAAGTTCTGGAAAATTTAGGACCTTGGTTATTTTTATTTGCCCCAGACTTTGCTTGTTAAGAATTATTTAGTATCTGAAGAAACCAACTTAAACACTGGGACATTGCAGTCTTACAAAAAATCACTTTTAATTGGAATGAAAGAGTTTACCCCAGTGAAAACCTGGATTTGTTGATGTTGTAAGCCTGTACAGGGTAATTAAAAGGCTGCCTTGCCTCTGGGTTGATATTCTGGAAATAAATATAGCTTTTTGTAGTTTTCTGTCCTTGTGTTCGAATAGTTCTTGGCCAATTTCAAGCTGCTGAAGGATGTGATGCTCCAGGTTTGGACATGGCCCTCTCAGCTCCCTGTGGATCAGCCACGTCCTGCTGCAGTTGCTTTTTACTCCTTGTTCTTTTACTACATCCACACATTATGAAAATGGGTGCTAATGACAAAAAAAATGCCAATTGTGATTAATGGAAATGGAATTTTGTTGACCAAAAAAATGTGGATTTAACTGGGCCAGAGGAAATGCTTTTACAACTGTAGATGAATATCTCAGGAATGGCCATTTCTTTGGAGAGAAAAAACCTTTCCAGTTCCAATTAAAAAAAAAAAAAAAAAGAAAAGAAAAAAGAAATGGATAATGATGTAAAAAAAAAGCAAATAAAGGTACAGACAGAACCAGATCCACTCAACAGTGGCAGTAAAAGGTCCAGGAGTTAATTTTAGGTGAGTGAAATTAAGGTAAAGTGGATGCAAGGCCAGGAGGGCGCTTGTTTCAGCACAGACCCAGTCCCCCAGGACATAAATCTCCTCCTGGAATCCTGGAATGGTTTGGGTTGGAAGGGACCTTAAAGCTCATCTTGTTCCACACACAATCCAGTGATACTGGGGTGGGAAGGATGAAGAAACAGTTGTAAAGAATGGGCTGATTGTTGTGCCCAGGACTATTGTCTTGCAGCTGCAGAGGCTTTGTGGAGCAGTGGAGGACGGAGGGAGCTGAGCTTGCCTTGGAATGTGGAATTCCAGGCAGGGAATACAATCTCCAGGGCATTCAAAAATCAAGGAGTGAGGTTAAAGTTCTTTTAGATTTGCAAAAAAATTGCAAGGGGGGCAGAGTTTGTGCCATGGCCACGGCAGGCTTTGGGTACTTGGGGCTGGAAATGGTGCTTGTGTGAGTACAGGAAGGAGGGAAGTTGATCCTGGAGAACTGAAAAAACAGGAAATACGAAATGGAGCTGGGATGTGTCATCCCATGACGCTGTGCATGTAATTAAAGATTATAATAACTCCTTTCCACGTGCTTTCCATGTTGTTAGGCCAGGAGATCCAAGGATATAACACTGATGTGAGCAAAATGGTCCAGTATCTGCCCCTAATTTAGGATTTTGGGTGATTAACTCCCCCTCTGGGAATTCAAAGAGCTCAGGCAGCAAAGCTGTGATGAAACTTTTCTTTTCTAAGTGAGTAGCAGCCCTTGTTTGGGCCAAACTTGCGAGATGATGGTAACCTAATATGATATAATTTAATGGAATATTGTTCTTGGATGTGGGTTTAGGGGGAGATGTGTGCACCAGCCAAGTCCCAGTCACTCAACAGGAACTTACTCCACAGCATATTGAGCAGTGCCACGTATGTTGCTTATAAAAAATGGACTTATTTTATCAGGCAGATTTGCTACTCCATTTTCTGCACACGCAGCTAAGGAATTTGCACTAAAATGTACCTCTGTGGCTTCTTTTTGTCCCTCAGAAAAAGCTATTTCGGTGGCACATCTAACTGTTTTTTATGCCTCCAACAACCTCAGGTTTTAGTGGCTTGGTCGTGTTTGTTTTCTATCAAGAAATAGTGATTGAGAATCTATCATTAAATAAGTTGTATTCAGGATCAAAAATGCCCCCCAGCACTTTTGAGCAGAGAGTAAGTTTGGACTATTAGACAAAGAGGAAAAATTCTCGGAGACTCGGACTAATGAAAACAATATGTTGGTAGAAAAATTGCATATCTGTTTTAAAAATGTTATTGTGTCTGAACACGGTTTTAAGCAAGTGAGTTACGTGATATGATCCATTTTTTTGACAAGTTACAGAATAAGGAATTAGAAGAAACGGGGGTGGGAGGTAGATTCTCAAGTCATTTATTCTACTGAGATATGGCCAAAAGGGGGAAATGAACTTCCGAAAATCGGGAATTGAAAATATCAAAATTCTGAACGGTTGAGGAAAATCTTGATCTTTAATCTTCTCTCCTCCCAAAGGTCAAAAGAAAAAACATTGGAGTTTTAGCTCAGAAACAAGAAAACTGGAAGACTGTTTGGGGATATTTTTACCTTCTCCAGTTGCACCCCAGGTATGTCCTTTTTAAATTAAGACAGAATCCTGACAGATCTGAGTGTTGCCATCACAGCCAGAGCTGGGACAACTGGGAGCACCTTTGAAAATCACTGTGTGTTGACAAAGTCTTTTCTTGGCAATAAACCATCATCTGAGATTCAGGAGCAGAGAGGAACAAAATTTCATTACATGTAAATAATAGTCTAAATATAGAAGCACAGATTGTTTTTCTCATTAAGTTCCTTCTTCATCCTAAAGCATATCCTGCTTTTAAAAACAACTGACTATCAAAAAGTCCAAACTGAAAAATGAGGGGCCTGTATGAGCTTTGTCTGTAAAAACCCTGACAGTATTTAGGGTGAAGCATTTTAAACCAAATTTTCGGTATCCTCTGCTTTAGTTCGCTTCCTCATTTTAATGTAGCTGAAGACATTCTCAGCCTGTTTTATTTAAAGCAGGTTTTGAAAGAGGACACTGTGGTTTATGGCCACGTGTCAAGTTTGATAGTGCTATGCCATGATTTAGCAAAACACTTTAAGCACATGTCCACATCCCACTGAATTTGGTAGGAAGTGAAGAAGCAGAGGAAAAAACTGTTTGCTGCGCAGCAGCCTCATTCAGGGGAGAAAAAAGTAATTGAAATCAAAAAGGATTTGTCTTTATACAATTAGAGACCATTTCTGCCGAATTCTTGAGATGAGACACAAGCTCACCGATCACGTTAGATCATAATTATTAAACATATTGGATCATTTCAAAGGAAGGGTTCCAAACTGGGCTGGTTCAGACCACTGAAATACAGCAGCTAATTATGGCACCCGTGGGCGTTCTGGGGAGTCATCTGACTTTTATTTTTTTAGATATCTCGCCCTGCCCCCTCCCCAAACCAGCCTTTGAGACACTCTGATAAGTCTTCATTACACGCAGGATTAAGCTGGAGTATCGGAGTGTCACTTATCAGCCTCTTCTAATTGCTCTTCATTTCCTGAATGCTTCATTTGATATGCTGCACGTCAAAGAAATCCGTGAGAACAGTGGATATTTGGATATCTGCAATAAAAGTGGGGTGTAGGCATGGCCTGGAGATGAAAGAGGGGTCCCAGCAAGGAGTCACCTGGATTTTCTGTCCGCTCTCTGGAGGCCAAGCTGGAGAATATTTCTGGGAGAAATGCTTGGGAATGGAATGTTTGGAAAGAGATAGGAGTTGTTCTCTTTGGTCAGAGAATCAGGACTTCATATATATATATACACACACACACATACATTCATTCATATATATGTATATATTCTTATGAATAAAGAGGATGGTATCAAAAACCTACTTCCTAGAAAGACATTTGACACCACTCTCCCATTCTTCCCTCAATGCAAACTACCTAATTTTAAATCGTGGGCAACTCCTCAGGTCACATGGGATAAATTATAACTCAGTAATAACCAGGAGTGGTAATCTCCTCACCACAAGTTCCCTGGGTGGCCCCAAAACACACTTTAATCTGTAGAGTGGAGACATTAATGTTGTTTTTTTTTTTTTATTTTTGTCTTGCAATGCACGTAACCTAAATGCTTTCTGAATGTAGAGATGGATTTTATGGAAGCTATGGAAAAGTAGGAAATTTCATTTCTTTTTTTCTCTTCTATGCACCAAGGTGAAGGCCAAGTGAAGAGTCTCATGATGATCTGTATTTTTAGAGTGACACATAGATAAAAAGAAGATGAACGAAGCCAAAGTGACTTAAATATTAGTATTTAATCTGCCCAATTCACAGCCGATGCTGTCATCTTGCCAGGCAGCATTTTTGATATATATTTCCCCCCTGTATTACCTGGTCTGCTGTTGGAGTAACCCACATTTTACTCGAAAATGACATGAAATGGTCAAGTTTGCACCTCAAGGCTCTGCTCCAACTCCTTAGGCCTCCCAAGAACACCTGTATTGCTGTTCCTCTGTAAGAGGAAAACCCGGGCAAGCTCGTGATGATTCCCTGAACTTTTCTGCAGAAGCCCAGGGGAATAAAACTTATTATTTATAAAACTCATCACTCTCTGCTTGTGCAGACCAGGAGCCTGAGGGTTCCTCACCGCCGCTGAGGGACCCCAGCCCCGTCCCGTGCTGTTCCACTCTTAAACCACTTAAACCCGCGGATTATGTAGCAGGAAGCAGAGCTGCAAATTCCGATTTTAATCAACTTCATTTATTTACTACAGCGACGGGGACCCACCGCTCCCCTCCGGCGCTCCGGGGTGTCCCGGGGCGCGGGTCCCGCAGGGGGCGCCGCCCGCTCCCCTCACGGAGCGACCCGCGGGGGCCGCGCTGGAAGGGGGGAAACTTTGCGGGCAGGGCGGCGGCGGCAACGCGGGGCCACCGGGGCGGCTTGGGGGGGCCCCGCGGAGGGACCGGGGCTGTGGGCCGAGGGTCGCTGCTGAGGGGCGCGGGGACCGGCGGTGGGGACCGGGGGGGACCCCCCGCCCGAGGAGGAGGCACAAAATGGCGCCGCGATTCAAACGCTGCGCGCCGGGAGCGGGCGGGGCGGCGGAGGGGGGGGGCGGTGTCCCGGCGGGGTTCACTGCGCCTGCGCGCGGCCTCGCAAGATGGCGGACAGTGCGGAACTAAAGGTAAAGCGCAGCTCCGGGTCCCCCCGCGGAGCCGCCGCGGCCGCGGCCGGGACGGGCCGGGGCGGGCGCGGGTCCCGCCGGGGCGGGCGCGGCGGGGCGGCCGCCGGCAGCGGGGGCGGAGGGACGGGGGGAGCGCTGGCGGGCGGCGCAGCGCGGAGCTGCCTTCCTTCCCCTGGCCGCCCCCCCTTCGCCGGCCGCGCTCCGCCGGGGCAGCGCGGGCGGCCCCGCTCCGCGCCCGCCGGGTCGGGCCGCGCCGGGCGGGCTGCGCGGGGAGGGCGGCGGCCCCGCCGAGCTCCCGGGGGGTGCCGGCGCTGGGCAGCGCGGCCGCTGCCGGGGCGGGCGGGCGGGGGAAGGAGCCCTCGGGCTCCCCGCGAAGTTTGCGGGGAGTGCGGCGGTGACAGCGCGGGCACCGCGCCGGGCGGCCCCGCTCGCCGCCCGCCCCGCGGGATAAAGCGCGTCACGGGCAGAGGTGGAGGAGTTCGGCGGGGCTGAGCTGGCGCCGGTCCCTGTCATCCTGCGAAACGCATGGAAACGGGGCGCTCCGGCCGCCCCGCAGCAGAGTTGGAGCTCCCCCGGTGCGGCCCGGGTGGGTTTTTTGGGGGGCTCGGCACAGGGAGCAGCCCCCGCGAGCTTCGCCTTCCACCCCTCGGCCTTTGGGAAGTCGTCACGCACTTCGCAGTAATCACTTCAGTTATCCATCAGGGATTTTGAGGAACCGTCGTAGCGGCTGGCGGGGCGTCCTCTCTGGACACACGCACAAAAATCCAAGGAAAAGAGTTCCCCCCCCTTCCCCAAACTTTGCCATCGCTTCGGTGCCGGGCGTGGGGGCTGCAAACCCTGCCCTGCACGCCCGGCAGCCTGGCAGAAGTTTGGGAGTTTGATCGCAGTTGTCACAGGGTCGTTATTCACCAGGAGGGCTCCTGTCTCCTGCTTTAAAGTTAATTCGGTGAAAGGCACAAAATCGGGTTTATGTTACATATGTAAAATCAGAAGTGCGTTAAAGGTGTAACAAACTGCGGGATGTGTAAGAGATGACTACGGAAATACTTTGTTTTTCCCTAGAGATTCAGTGGGTCTCAGTTTTCTGCATATCAAAGGTATTGGGCACTTTCATTTCTAGATGCTTAAGGAGCTGTCAGGAGGTGAAGAAGTATAAAACCTTGAGCGTGTCCAACTTCAGGACCCTCAGATCCTTCTTTAAATCCTCCTCTGGCCTTAGTTTTTCTGGGTGTTTTTCAGACCTTACTGTGTTGCTTGAGCTGTGTTGTCCTTAAGTCCTTTTTCTTTTCAAAATGTGCTTCCCACATAAGGAGATAAAAGGTTGGGATGTGGTTCCAGCATTAAAGTCCTGTCAGTCTTAGCGTGGCGAATGGAATAGTGTGCTTTGGTAGCCAGCTCTGAGGGGTTTGGGTGCACAGCAGCCAGATGGGCTTTATGTGATGCCTTTATTAGCAACACTCACTGAAATGGAGTTAAAGGAGAGGAGAGAGAAGGAATAAAGTGATTTTTTTGGGTGTGCGTTAAGATGACAGGTCAAGGGACGGGGCTGAAAGGCAGGATTTGGCTGTGAAAATTGACAATTTATCCATCTTGGGAGCTTTGAAACCTGAAGCCTGTGGTCCATCAGGCTGGGGGGGCCTGTCCTTTCCTCTTTCTCTGCAGCTTCACAGGTGGATCTTTCACAGAGCTGTTTCTGTGTCTGCTCCTCATCCCAGACCTCTGTCTTGATCCTTCTCTAAAACTTCCTTATTGAGAACCGGTAGGAAGAAATCACAACTTTTAAAATTAATTTTTCCTAAACTTACTGTTGCTGCCTCAGGAGCTTGGAGAATAAATGCCAAGCTGACTATTTTATTTTCATTTTCACTTTTCTGCTCAGGGTAGTGGCACTTGCAGGCTGGCACTGAAGGATCCCACTGCATTCTGTGAAAACTTGGGGTTTTCCTCTAGTTTTGGGGGCTTGATGTAAAAAAAAATAGTTACTTCACGAGTTTATACTTTGAAGACTTCAGTACATTTTTTTTTTTTACAAGGAAAAAAGGTGTGTGGGTGGATCCTTCTGTGTCAGGAAGGAGAGGGGAAGACAAGGGGGCACGAAAAATTCCTGCTTTGGGTCGTAGCTCTCACAGGGTGGTTTTCCAGGAGCAACACAGCTCAGTTAGGAGGTACTGGATGAGGTGAGTGCTCCTTGGAAAAACGTGGCTAATGGAAAGCTGTGACATCGTCCGTGGGGGCAGTGGGTGTTTTCTGAGCAGGAGTAAATCCCCAGAAAATTCTTTTTAACTTCTCTCTTTCCAAGTTGAAAGGTACCTAAGGGAAGGTTTGTGATTAAGACTCTGCTGTTTGAAGAATGACCAGTGAATTCCTTTAATTATTTTCATTTCTCCTCCGATTAATTAGCAAATGGCATTGATTTCAGCTTCAGTGACCTTTAAAACTAAAATCAAATGTAGTGATTGTGCAGTGACTCGCTTGCCTTACCAGAAAAAGTATGTCAGGAAAACTTAGGCAAGTTTCTAAAACTTTGCTGCCTTCCCATGTAAAGACCTGTGGGTAGCACTGCACGTGTAAATTGGGGAATGTGATACCATGGTATTGCCACAGGCAAATTAAAGTTCTTGCTCCCTCCAGAAAAACAGTGGTCAGTCTTACTTGCCATAACTTTTCCTGGAGCTTTAAATCGTGAAATAGCCTTTTTTTTTTTGTAATGTATTATCTCACCATAATCAAGGATATTTCAGTCTTTTGCCCCATTTGGGACTGTTTGTCCCATTGGAAAAAAAAAATAATCAGATAAGATCAAACATACTCTGCAGATCCCAGACTTGTGAGGTTACTGAATTCTTTGGTACTCTGGAAGGGTTGGATAAATTGAACCAGTATGTTTTCATTTCTGCTGCTGAAATAAGGTAACTGGAAAGTCTGTGGAGTTCTCCATAACTCCATAGGCTGAGGCATATGTGAATTTTCCTGATCTTAATTACTATTCCTGTATAATTGCACGCAGACTCTAATTTATCTCAAGGTAAGCTATTTAAAGCTCTTTCTAATTGGAAGGAGTATACTTGAGTGATTAAATCTTTCCTTCAATATTTCTTACATCTCTTTAAATTGGTTATTAGATTGTTGTGATCTTTGCCTTGCACTCAAGTCTTTTGGAAATCATTACACAGTTTGCAATAATCAATTCAATTATACATGGATCAAAGAAGGAGAAAGAAAAGCTTATGTTCGAGTATTGTCATTCTTGATACTGTCCTAAGGAGCTGGTTTGGAAAGCACATGCTGGGAGGTTTTCTCCTTTGTTCTCTCTCCTTTTAAGAAAGTGCCTTTGGGGATTGAAGAGATCCCTGGTGTGTTTCTTGTTAGACACAATTTATACTTAAAAAAAAAAAAAAAGTGAGCCAAGAGTTTGAATGAAAATTCATAAAAGCCTTTCCACACAATGGGGAGGAAAACAAACCAGTCAGAAATATCCAGTTGGGAAACACCCCTCCCCTGAATGCAGGGAGGCAGTTTTTGAGGGGGACAGGTTGGTGGCACAGCTTTTAGGTGGGGGTGATAATAGTGACAAGTGGATCTCTGGAATTGCATCCTCAGTGCTAATAAGCACAATCTACCTATTTCGGTGTTCAATTAGAATTTTACTCCTCTGTATTACGAGCTATATTTGCTTAATCCTTTTACAAGTTGCTGTGGTTGCTTGTTTCTGTGATTAAAGTAAATATAATCTACTTTTCATTGTTATCTGAGTCCCTGGATTAGGGTGGTTTCATGCAGTAATTTGGTGTGTGGCAGCATCGTATTTTTAACTGTATTTTGGTCCAGGTATCATTTTTTTTAGCCTTTGGTCTTTACCACTGGGATTGCAGACACCAGAGGAATAACATTGGCAGCTGTGCATCACCACTTAACTGTCAGAGCCCCAATCCATAACCCTTCTTTATGGCCAATAAAACCCAGATTGCCTGTTGTGCACACGGAAATACAGTGTCACTGCACTTGTGGAGAAACCCTCCCCAGCACTGGGGGCCATCCTGGAGGGGTTTGTGGTTCTGTGCAAGGGAAATTCTTATTTGATGCCACTCGTGAGAAGGAAGGAAGGGGTAAGAACCATACCCACTATACTTGATATTTTTCATGGGTTTGCAATTCATTTTTCTTTTGCTTTAAAAATTAGTTACAGGGCTGGGAAGGTAAGAGGCAGGTAGAGGATGCATCTTCTTTAGCTTTATTCCATGAGGAAATATTCCCCTCGGGAGGGTGAGTGCTCAGGACTCAGTTTCTGGCTGAGGCACCCAAGACAGATAGTTAAAAGCATCCCGTGGAACAGGGTGTGGACAGTTCAGATACCTTCAAATATTGAAGTTATTTATAAGGATGCAGCCACTGCTCTGGTTTCAATGGTTTATGGCCTGACCTGCATTCACACAGGGCACAGAGATAAGTGCAGACCTGTCACTAATGTCTCTGGCGGGGAGGATTGGAGTTCCTGTAATCTGTTCTCCGAGAAGTCAACTCTCCTCACTTCCCTCTTTAGTGCCATTACAGTGAAAAGCAAAGCAGAACTTCCACACACTTGAGACTTGAGTGCTCCCTGTGATTGTTCTGAGATACCCCCAGGCCTCTCCCACCTTCTGAGTGCCTCCCTGGTGCCTTCCTCCGGGGCATCTCCTGGAATCCCTGTTTGTCCCAGTGCTTGGAGTGAGTGGCAGCTGGTGGCTCCAGCAGCATGGCCTTCCCTGGGCTCTGCTGGTGCTGAATTTGGAGCAACAGTCCCTTGGTTGCTGTGAATCAACATTTTGGAAGGGTTACATTTTGGATCACTCAAATCCCAGAGGATTGGTGGCTGGGAAATGGACTGGGTCTCTTGTGACTTTGCTCTTCTTGGTGTTTGACCCTTTGGCTCCGCAAGGAGAGAATTCCCCCTCCAGTCCTGAGGTGGTCTCAGAGCTGTCTGGTTATTTTTGCTGCTGTGCTTCCCCTCTACAAATTTCTGC